TCCAAAAGTTGAGTGTTTTTATCAAAAGAGGGTTGTTGTGATGGATTGTTAAAATTCTGAAAATTACCCCTAGGAGCCTGGTAGTTCTGCCCATTACCATATATACCTGAGATTAGGGTGGTCTCTCCATCCCTCATTGTAAGAATTTGAAAAAGGATCGTATTTTCTTTAATTATTATTATAAAAAACAGCATTTACCTCGGGGTGTTGCAAAGTCGGGCAAGCGTCAGTATGGTGTCCTTCTAAGCAACAAACACCACAAGGTTTTCCCTTAACCCCTCCAACAGTTGTAATTTGTGAAATGGCATTGGTAAGTTTGGTAAGTTTGTTTTCAATAAAGGAATTACCAATTTCATTCACTTTCTTCACTAGTGTTTCCCTAGTACCAAACTGTTGGGTGTTCTGAGCAATCAAATTAAATAATTCCCTAGCTTGTTCAGGTGTTTTATTAACCAAGGCACCCCCACTGGCAGCATCCACATTGCCTTTCTCAGTAGGGAGTAGCCCTTCATAAAAATATTGGAATAAAAGTTGTTCAAGAATCTAGTGTTGAGGACAGGAGGCACAAAGTTTGTTAAATCTTTCCCAATATTCAGAAAAATTCTCCCCAATCATTTGTTTAATCCCACATATTTCTTTTCTAATCGAACCTATCTTAGAAGCTGGAAAATATTTTTCTAAAAATGCTTTGTGTAGAGCATTCCATGTAGTGAAAGAACAGGCTGGCATGTAGTACAACCAGTCCTTTGCCTTATCAGCTAAAGAAAACGGGAAAGCCCTCAACCTTATTTGGTCTTGAGCAACCCCTTCAGGCACCATAGCTCCACATGTAATCAGAAATTCAGAGATGTGCCTGAAGGGATCCTCTCCAGGAAGACCATGAAACTTAGGCAAAAGGTTTATAAACCCAGAATTCAGCTATAAAGGTTTCTCTAGCTCAGCATATGTGATGGAAAGCGGTTGAACATTTAGGTTAGGCGATGCCAATTCCCTTATAGTTGTCATCTTTGGTTCAGATTTTATTTCAAAATGATTATTAAAGATGTTATCAGAACAAGAATCAAACAAATCAACAGCAAGCAAATTGGCAGGTCTATCCTCAAATTCAGCAACAAACTCACTAATAAAAGAATTGGGTTCAGACACACTTACCTCATAGTTGCTACCATTTACCTCTATATCACCAATTACTCTTCCACTCCTCAAAAGCATGCAAAAATCAGTTAGCTGCAACTCAAAGAGAATATAGAAGTATTAGAATTCTTATACTTGATTAAGAAGCTAAGCAAAAAACATGAACGTTTGGTTGATTCCGAATGTCTCTTAAGAAAAACTGCTCTAAATGCAATCAGTATTTTTTGTTGTTTGCTGATTTTTTAAGATGTGTATGCCCAAACAACTTAAACTCTAATTAAAACTTCTAGTAATCATAAAAGCTGCAATATTACTCTACTGAAATTTGTTTAAAAAGAGTTAACTAGTTAAGTCCTACAATGTTAAAAAAATGTTAACATGCTTTAAAGGAAAGACATCAGGAAGTTAGTCCTTAATTCTGATTGTTACTGGTTAAAAAATCAAACTCATTTTTAGCAAACTTGGACTAAACTCTTTTTGACACATTTTCTCTTTAAAAATTTAATTTTCCTGATCCTCAATTTGATTAAAATTGCTTGAAAGTTAAGTAAAATGTTAAAGTTAAAAACTGCCCGTAACTAATTTCTCATAAAAAAATGCCAGTAAAAAAACAAGAAAAAAAAATCCAACCTTGAAGTTGACTAAATGACTTTAAACTAAAGAAAACTTTAATTAAAATAAGTTAATATACTCTTATGGACTGACCTAGACACTGATAAAAGAGTGAGAAAAAAATTAATAAGGCAAATTTAAAAACTTTTTTTTGTGTGTTTTTTTAATTTAAGATTTTCTGTATTTTTAAGAGGACAAAAGTAAACAAATTCTGCCTGTTCTTTAGGACTTGAACTCTTAACTTCCAGTTCTTTCCAGTTCCTTCCAGTTCTTTCCAGTTTCTTCCAGTTCTTCCAGTTTTTTCCAGTTCCTTCCAGTTTTTTCCAGTTCCTTCCAGTTTCTTCCAGTTTCTTCCAGGTTTTTCCAATTTCTTCTAATTTCTTCCAACTATATTTATTTTCTTCAAATTCTTTCTACCTTTTGACAAATAACTCTAAAAAAATATATTATTATTATAATTATTATTATTATTACAATTTTTTTAATTACAACTTTTATGTTCATAACTATAGTTTATAAATTATTTAATTTTTTCATCTCACTATTTTTATGATTCACATTCATTATTTTTTTCTTCAACTTTTTAATATGAATAATACCAGTTCTATGTTTTTATTCAAAAATTGGGTTACAATGGAAATAAATTGTCAATCCTTAAAGAAAATTAAGTTTGATTACATTATGTGACATGTCAGATATTTAAAACAAAATCTTGTAATGTATAAAATATAATTACAAATATATTATTTTATAATACATACAACATAGCCATAATAACTCTTAACTATTTAACATTTTGATATTTATGCTAATTTTATATTCTAATTAATTTTTTAAAATATCTTTTTATGTATGAAAAATAATATTCGTAATATTTTTTTATATTTTAAAGACAATCATTTGGATAACGTGATAACACCACCACCACCACCACCACCAACAACAACAATAATAATAGTAATTATAATAGTAATAGTAATAATAATTTATATCAACAAGAATTAGAATGAGAATAATTTAAAACCACACATAAAAAATTTTTAAAAACTTTTTTTAGATTTTACAATTTATTCTAGTTTTTTCAATTTCTTTTAATTTTTTTAATTTTTTTCAGTTCTTCCAGTTCCTTCCAGTTTCTTCCAGTTTCTTCCAGTTCCTTCAAGTTCCTTCCAGTTTCTTCCAGTTTCTTCGAGTTCCTTCCAGTTCCTTCCAGTTTCTTCCAGTTTCTTCCAGTTTCTTCCAGATTCCAGTTCTTTTTTCCAGTCCTAAAGAACAGGCCCTTAGTAAAATATTAATATTTCCCCGGCAACGACGCCAAAATTTGATAGGTGTGTCGTAACACATAAAAAATTAATTTAATATTTTTCTTTACTCAACTCCTTCTTGTAAAAATAATATGTAATAAACATGTAGATAGGATAAGTAAGGGTCGATCCCACGAGGAAAGATATTTTTCAGGTTATGAAAATCGGGTTAATTTGTCACTTTTTATTGCACAAAAACAACTATCTAAAATCTATAAACTAAATTAAAAGATGGGGGGGGTTTGAAAAATGTTTTCTAAATAAAGTAAAAAAAAGTAACTAAAGTGACACACCACACTAGAACAAATCTCAAAACAAACTAAGGATAGAAACAGAACATAACTCCACCAAGAAGCCCAAACAAAGAAGACAAACACATAACATAATAATTTAGAGACTTAAACAATTTTAGAAAACCAACAAAACGTTTTATAATATAGAAAATAAATATCTAGGATCAAAACCTTGTTAAAAACTAGCATAATCATCAACCAACAATAAATTAAAATAAGGGTTAGGCCGAAGAAGAGGTCCACCAACGGTTCTTCCCTATTTTCGCATTCAAAAAAGCTCATGTTAGGACCAACCCTAACTCTAAACCCCACTACCCTTAACAACCCAAAGACCAACCCTTAGATTACTACTAAGAATAGTGCAATAAGATTTGTGGAAAACATCACCGTAACAATCTTGCAGTAACACGAAGGTTATTTAACAAAATCAGTTTGAGAACCTTGATTAGCAAAAATCACTTAACGAGGCAATCTAGTACTAATCAAGTAATACTTGGTGTCTAGAAAAGTTCGGCTATTTAAAGCACTTTGGACTTTAAGAGAATATCATTTTAAATTGGATTAAGTCGCGATCCTAATTTGACACAACTTAAGTAAAATCAATTGAGAAATAGTTCTCAAACTTCTTTGAATTAATGTAAAAGTAGCAAAAGCTTGAATTATTTTCAGATTATAAAACATGTAGTAAAATTTTAAACCCATAGACAGATTCAATTTTAAGCAACAAGATTCAATACTTCGTCCAAAAATTCTGGTTTCATATGTTATTTTTTTACGAAATCGGACCATAGATGACATAAAAACACAAAGAACACTCTCAAATAATGCTTTTAAAACACACACTTGTTCTGGAACTTGGACAGTATTGAAACCAATGAAAAATCAATAATGCTATCTATTGCCAGTATAAGGCAGTAAACGCATAAACCCATATTTAATTGAAAACAAACTTTGGTTTTAAATATCCATCACAGGTTCAGAACTAAGAAAAAGTCAATTGGAAATATGTTCCATATAACTGAAGGAAACAAAACAACACAAATTTGGGAAGGGAACAAGGGGATTAAGAATTCAAAACAAATTCTACTTTGACAAAACAGAAGAAAAAAACAGAGAAAGGGAAGGGTTTCGGATGCAAGATCCGAACCCCCCTGGGGTTATTACCCTATGCGTTGAGCTCGAGTTCTTGCTCTCCATATGTGGTTGTGATGTTCTTCGCAGCACCTCCCTTGATTTATAGGTGCGAGAATTGCTTCTTCCGTCTAGGGTTAGGATTCTTCGCTCCGGGATTTGCGTTGCTCCGTTTCTTCTCTCGCCTCTTTTGATGGAGATGAAAAAGATAAGGGTCATGCTACATTGACACAATAAATTTTACACAATTTGTGCACCATAGGTATACAAGTTTAAACCGACACAAGTGTTGGTGGTTAACAAAAATTTACACAGACACAAAATGTGTGTGCATCAAACTTACGGGGTACAAAATACAGAAAATTACTGCCGGGTACCCTAGGTTTTGTGGTAAGAACTACCAGGTCCTACTATTTTTCAAAATATACATATTGGGTACCTAAATTATCAACTAAATGTCCAAGGAGGGACATTCCATCCAAAGTCCCGTTAAGCATATGAGCTCTGTTCATCTTAATCGAAAAATCCAGTGAAATTCCCTCTTTAGCTCTGCGTTCTACTCTTCGTGGCTTCTAGGTCTTGCGTAGGTAAGTGAATCTACTCCACTTCTTGGTCTTGTGTAGGTAATTAAATCGACTCCTCCATGTTCGTGGTCTTTGTGTTTGTGGTAAAATTATGAGATTTTGCTTTTTCCTGATTGGTTTTTTACACAGCTGTTATCTTTTCTTTTGTTTTCAGTTGAAACATGGAAAACCAAGTTTGAAGAAAAGGAAATCAGTCCCCAAAAACCCAGCCTTGCTTCATGCTTGTATTGGTTTCAGTTGAAACATGAAAATCAGCTTTGAAAAATTGAAAAACATCCCCCAAAATGCAGAAATCAGCCCCTAAAACATGTAGAAACCAGCTTCAAAAAATGCAGAAACTAGCCCACAAAAAACATGAAGAAACCAGCCCCCATAAAATGAAAAAACCAGCCCCCAAAAATGCAGAAACCAGCCCCTAAAGCATGCAGAAATGAGCCCCCAATTGGAGAAGATGCAGTCAGCACAAACGTGAAAAAAGGGCTTTATTGGGAAATAGAGGGGCAGGTCAGACATTTTGATATAGCTAACGGGTTTTGGATGGAATGTCCCTCCTTGGACATTTATTTGATAATTTAGGTAACCTGAGAGTATATTTTGAGAAATACTAGGACCTGATAGTTCTTACCACAAAACCTAGGGTACTCGGCAGCAATTTTTTGGTACAAAATATGGGGTCAAGTAGCTTTATCCTTGTGAGAACAACAAATCAGATAGGGCGTAGCTTCTCTGGTTTCTTTCATGTGTGCATCGGAGGATTGGGCTTGGACTGTTTCTTTATCACCATATGTTGGGGTAGAGCCCAACCGAATCACTTTTACATTTTCAGCCTGCATTTTATGCTCCAAAGATATATCTAATAACCTTTGTCAAGTAGAATATGAGCCCAAATCAATAATATTCAAAAATAAACTAAAAAGTGTGCATTATGAACATATTTTATAAATGATGCCTAGAATGCAAATATGATCATTTAAGTGTAAAAATGTACCTTTTAATGCCCGAAAATACTTATTTTATAGAGAATAATTAGTGAATATTTTGGACTCAACTGGTACCGTGACCGGCAACGGTACTGCCGGTGCCCGCCACCATCACCGCCGGCCGGGACATCCCACTTGTTCCAAGAACCGGTACCTGTACCGCCCCCTCGGTACCAGTTCCGTTGCCAAATTTTCGGTACCAGTACCAGTTTCGGTATCGATTTTAATTTTTTTTGATTTCTCAAACATTGGGGTCCACACTTGCAAAAACCTGAAAAAAAGTGGAAAAAAAAAATAGTGGGGTGGGCGAACCTCAACGGCTATTTAGCCGTTTGAGGTGGAAAGTGGGGGAAGGGGGAGGGAATTACTATAAATTATACCATTTTTTTAAAAAAATCACACTCAATCCTCCATCTCTCAATCTCTCATTCCATCAATCTCTTAATCTCTCAATCTTATTATCTTTTTTAAATTTTTATTCAATTTATATTCATATAATAATATAAATATATATTAATATATTACATAATAACATATAAATACATTCATTATTCATATGATCAGTTATCATATATTATTACTAATATTATAATTTCAAAATTTTTGAAATTTAATATTTAATTAATTTTTTAAATATTTAGTATAGTTCGAAATAGTCAAAAAAATTAATGTATAATATAATTTTTTAGAAAAATATTATTATATAATAATATATAAATACATTCATTATTCATATTATCAATTATCATATATTATTATTTACTAATATTATATTTTCGAAATTTTCGAAATTCAATATATAATTAATATTATAAATATTTTAATATAGTCTCTTTTTTTATAAAAATAATATATATTAAAATGTCGAGAGAGTCCGGAGCGAAGGTCATTGGATATGGGTGCCGTGAACCGAAGTTTGAGGAGAGGCAAAGCTAAGGCCACCTCTGAGGGTTCAACCTCACGTGTAACGCCCTGCAACCCGGTCTATTAGAATTTATTGTTTTAAATAATTAGTTACTGTTCCAGAACAAAGTTGGGGAAAATAAAAAGTTCTTAGAAAAATTATTTGAACATGTCATTAAATTCATTTTGACGGTTTGATTTCGGAAACACAAACGATCTCAATTCAGACCCGTTCGGGGAAAAAAGCGTGTACTGTTCAGGTTAGATTTTTACTCAACGGAATAAATAAATATTTGTAACTCTCCCTCTCTCACGCCATTCCTCTCCCACATGCACACACCATTATTTCCCATTCAATTGCCCATTAATCCTCATCATTACATATTCAATATATAAGCTCCTCCCTCTCTTCACTTCCCTTAGCAAATTGTAACTCCCAAAGACAATTACACATACTCTTCCTATTCCCTTGATTTTCAGCCAAGGCAGCAAGCAGCCCCAGAGAGGATTCCGGCGGTCAGGCAGAAGGTAGAAGAGAAGGGAAGTCACGTACGAGGTGGTCCGTCCATCCGCTCGTTGGTTCATAAATGTTTACATTATTGTTCTAAAAGAATCAAGGCGTTAAGTTCACAAAACGGATCAAAATGAAGCAAGGGACAGTGGACTGTCTACGGGACGGTCGACCGCCGCTAAGGACGGTGGACCGTTTCCCTTGACCGTGTGTCGGCCACCACCGTAACGGTTGACCGCCGGTCGCGACGGAAGACCGGGGTGGACCGTCGGCATCCCAGACCTCCATAACGTAGCCACAGTCGACCGCCGGGAGGGTACGGTCGACTGTTTCCCGGGCAGAATTCCAGCCAAGTTGTAGAATAAGCCCCATTGATTATATTGATTCAGAATCTGATTGTATGTTTGCATGAAATGATAACTTCATTATGTATGTTACTTAATTGATATATTCTTGGCGTTGACCAAAGGTAAATACATCAAGCATTCATCATGTTCATTCTAGACGCATGTTCTAGGTTTTTCCATCATGTGCATACCGCTGTAGGGAGGTCAGGCTTTCGTGCACCTAGTACAGTGGACCCGTCCAGGAACCCTCGGGATCCAACAGGTTTTCATCAGGTGGGTTTTGTGTACGTACATGGTAGTCAGGCTACGGCTACCACCCAGTTTTGTTATTTCACTTGCGACATTTTCGTCGAGCCCGGCTCATTACCGGAGTGTAGGGGTGATCTGTCAAGTGAGACTAAGCCAGGGGTGTCTCTGATAGTTTAAGTCATGCATCAAGTCATATATACCGTCATCATGTGTGTTCCATGTCATGTTGACATTTAATGTGGTTGTTATCATCATGTATGTTCCACGTCACATCAACATTCAATGTGGTTGTTGTTTATTTTGTTATGTGTAAAAATATCCCATCAAGTGCAAATTAATCAGTTCGTAAACATGTGGTTTTCCGTACGTTAAAGTACAGGTATTAATATGTGTATAATCATATGGGTTATCACTTCATGTTCTTTTGTTAGATTCACTCCCCAGCTTTTGCTGAGCGTGTAGTTGTTTTTGCTACACGCAAGTAGACATGACGGTACAAGTGCCAACCCTTGAGGACAGTGATGATGGGAAGATGGGTGGCGCACGGACGAGTTTAATAATTAAAATCATTTGAATTAATTAATCATTTGGGCATGAACCCATCATATGTCATTTTACTTATTTTGGACTTATTTATTTAATTCCGCTTTTACTCTGCATTTAGAACACACACGTTTTGGAAATAACTCCCTAGCATTCATTCCATCAATAAAACCCAACCGTTTCATAATAGACATTAATGCGTTTTTCTCTACGGACGGTTTTCGGACAACCCATGTAACCCTATTGGTCTGTTGGGTCACGGGTGAACCGGGTCCACGGAAGGCGGGTGTTACAATTTGGTATCAAAGTAGTTCGATTTTGTGAAAAAAACATATTTTGTCATCTTGGTCAAAGAGTATTTTCAAAAAGTTCACACCCGCATCTTCCATCACATCACTCCAGGGAAAGGTACACCGTTACAAATTGGATGTGTCGTTGAAGGAATTGTTCAAAGAGCTTTAATCTATAATTTGGGGGTGATAATGTGTTGCTAGATACCGCTTATCACTTGTAGTATTTAATCGATACTATGGCCAATTTTATAGATGCCTAGAATATGGTCACACACATAGAACATATGAAAGTGTAGAATATTTAAGTGGAGTAAAGTTGCACTTTATTTATATGTTGTGTATATTATATTGTGTGACAATATGATTAGATACAGAAACACATATATAAATAAATATTTATATTTGGACATTTTAATTATATGATAATTAAGTATATATATATATATATCCGGATATATATATATATATATATATATATATATATATATATATATATATATATATATATATCTATATATATATATATATATATATATATATA